AAATCTGGCATCAGTTTTTGTCTATCACATCAGGTTTTTGAGAAATCAAATATTGCATTTTCAATAAAAACTGCAGAAGAAAAATATTAAATAAATGCGGATATCTACATAAAATGATATTATAAACACACTATCCTAAAAATACAGCACCATATTTTAACACTAAAGCTAATTTCGGGTAAAATCAATGAAAATGGGGTATGCCGATAGCATAAAATGAGATGTGATAGAGCAAATCTGAGATCAGATTTGGAATCAGCACCCTGAAATTAGTCTAAAACAGCTGCAAAAGTCCAGGACAGAATTTTTTTTTTGACCAGTGTAATTATCTACATTAGTGGCACACGCGCTCACGTCTTATACACAGCGAGTACTCAACAATTCATACACACAGATAGGCCAGCAGCCTACTTGCCGTGCTGCTTTCTACGAGCTCTTTGGCGTCCCAGCATGTTGTTGTCGGCCTCTCTCACCCACACACAATGACCTCACCCTGATCCACGAACCCGGCCTGCGAAGTGTCACCACGCCCAACATTAATTTAACATCTATTACTCTCTCGGGCCTTGGTCTGTGACTACATCGCTCGGAATGCGTCAAATCTCGTCAAATCTCAGAAGCCAAGCAGGGTTTGAGCCGGGACAGGGCCCGGGCAGGTGCCCACGATGCACAACGGATGTTGGAAGCTACTGAGCAGCTATGCTTGTGGTCGCCGGCCAGCGCGATGCAAGTGCGGTCAAACAACACCCACTGAGGGTTGGCATCAGGCCACTGGAGAAACAAACCCAGACACATTTCTCATCCCGTGTCTATTATAATAACTGCGCAGCTTACTGGAAGACAGTTTCAGCACAGTAGCGGCGCCAGATCTCCGTACGAATCAATTCTTGCCACCTGAACACGAGATTCCAATTCAAACGGGATGTCCGGGTCAAACCTGGACAAGTGGCCACCCTCATACTCAAGAGCCCGCAGGCACGGTGTGGGGAGGCCCTCATCCAACAGCGGATCGACAAACAGGGCCGTACACGTGCACACACCCGTAATGCTTTCAACTTGTATTCGCTTACTCTCACAGCGAGAGAGAGAGACGACTCAGAGGCGCGAGGAACTAGACACAAGCTGGAAGGCAGCCAGACGTTGATCCGGTGCCAATAATAGACCAAGCTCTTCGGTCCTCTACATATTAAGATGTTTTCCACCGAGTAATGAGTGTTTACATGAAGGCAGCAGGGCTAACAACGGCTGTCAGATCCACTGGCCACGAAGGACAGCCACCCTGTTTGGACGGACAGGTGGTTTGACGTCGGGAGCCTTCACTGATCATAGAGCTGCACCTGGCAGACTGCACCCGCCCCCACACAGCGCATCTCAGCCGACGTGGGAGGGGATGGCAACAGCGGGAGACGAAACAAAATGAGCTCATTCCACAGGAATTTGGTACGAGTCCGTTCTGCGACCACATTCTTTTTCTCTCACGTCTCGGAGCGTCTGGCCACCACGTCTCGTTGCGTTTGTAGGCAGCGAGGCGTGTTGCCCGAGTGGCCGTCACACAGCACAACGTCGCATATCCGACCGACCGACCTACATGGGGGGGAGGGCGGTCCAGGCGGCCACGTGGAAAGATCTGATTTGTGAACATCGACAGGACACGACGGTCACGTCGTCGTGCGCAAACGCTGCACTGGGAGCGGGCGGTTAAACAGTCAGCGTGGACATGCGATGGTCGGATGAGCGACGTTGTACTGCATGACATCCAGTGCACATTGGTTTGCTTTCTGTACGTTATTTGGTGCATGATATCACGTTCGTCGTTGCCAGCCTCATGCGGCACCTCCGGCCACAGTGGTCGTGGCTTTCCATTTAAAGACAGAAGAACAACAATTTAAACTAACCACTCAATTGTCCCCCTCCCCGCTCTGCTCTGCAGGGGCTAGCGGTCAATGACGAGTTATTTTGTTGAATCAAATCGAAATTATGAAGCCCCTTGTTCAAGCGCAGCAACTCTTTTGCTCTGCGTCTCGTCCACGTACGGCGATCGACGACTCATTCATCGCGCCTCCGATTAGCAACGGTTGGCCACGTACGGTGCGAAAGAAGTTCAACATACATACATTTACGAATCTGCAAATTGAAAACTAACGGTCAAACAAGAAGGGCTTTATTTTTCGATTTAAAGCTTTCGTGACTGCAGGGATTCATCTTCTTGGTTCTTTCGGTAAAGTCACGTAGAAGGGAAATAATAAAATAATAAAAATAAAACATAATAAAATAATTCTCACGACGTTTCGGCCACAACGCAAGCAGCCGTCCTCAGGTGAAGAACAGGTCTGTCGGAAAGACAGCTGTCTTTCCGACAGACCTGTTCTTCAGACAGACCTGTTCTTCACCTGAGGACGGCTGCTTGCGTTGTGGCCGAAACGTCGTGAGAATTATTTAATTATATTTTATTTGTATTATTTTATTATTTCCCTTCTACGTGACTTTACCGAAAGAACCAAGAAGAATAAGGGCTTTGTTCCACTCGTGGTGTAATACGGGTTAACGCAATATCACGAATGCTCCACTCACGCACGTCGGTGTAAAACACAGTCACTTTGGTGATAACAGTGGCGGTGTTTACGGTTGGCAGAGCGTACGAGGCCGTTCCACTTACACTCAAGACTCGGCAGCGTTGCCTTTGTGTGTTGCAACAATGGGAAAATGTAACTTCAAAAAGCTATTAAAATCATCAACCCATGGAACGTGAATTCCGTCGTAAAGCTATTTACTGGAGTACAAAAAAAGCCCCCTCAACGCATTTGTCACTGACACTGTGGTCTTAAAGGGAAAACTACTTTTTAATGGCGATGTTTCAGGAAATTACCCTTCTTCAGAGCACTTGTTGTGTGCCATGAAATGAACCTTTCCTGTAATTAAAACATCTTCGGTGTACGACCGTGGCCACCCAGAAAAGACCCCGGAGCAGAGAACAACTCAATGTCCAATTCACAAACACGACGGAGCAGGCATCAGAGCCACGCACTCCTCTGCCCGTGACACACCTGCCTGCCTCCGCAACGTCAATGTCCAATGACACTCGTTGCTCTACACTCCTACAGCTGCATCAGCCACGCAAAGAAGACCTTGCCTATAATTCTAGATTTGAAGTTTTCGCGACTGCAAGGGTCCATACTTTTTGGTTTTTTCGGTAAAGTCGTTTATTTTCTTTTTTACCTACGTGACTTTACCGAAAAAACCAAAGACCTTGCCTGTCTCCCCTTTCAAAATGTATGTTGGTAATTTCTTTGCGTAAATCAAACGGTTCATGATAAAAAAAAATTATGCGAATTAGGCATTTGTTTTTATTAGGAGGAGCAGCGTCTATGTTCGCAGGGGGTGGCGGGGAGAGTGGGGGATGGATTCAGAGCGAGGGTGGTCACACAGAAGCCACGTTCATTATGGGAGGCTTGAGCCGATTTAGATAGCCCTGAGGTGCAAGGAGCAATTCACACGGACACAATCTTGCCCTCCAATTTACTTTTTGCACACACACACATTAAATTCCGCAGCAATGTCTCGTATCGTCCGTGAAACTTATACAAACACAACTGCCCTTTTGCTATCGCGCTGCCGGATTGCGCTTGGAGACCGAGGAGTGCCGAGTGAATAGAAGAGTCTAGAAATTTAAAGGGCACCGTAAATTAAATATAAACAACGTGTGTAATCATCTGTACACTCTAAGTGTACCGTGTATACGCGAAGCAGCCCTGGGAACGGAGCTAAATAATAAATACTGCTGAAAATTAAACAGTACGTGCCAATTCGTTCAACGCAATTCGCTTCAGCGTGCAGCAAGGGGCATCATCTCAAGACTCCATTCCCTCACATGCATTAGCTCCATCTCCCCGTTCAAAAATCCGCGTCGAACTCGACATTTCGATACACGAATACAACCCGACCGCACTCCCGAGTCTCTCAACAAGCCGACAATGCCCGTAACACAAGTCTGTGGCCACCGTAGTGGCGGTGGTGTACAGGCAGCCGTGGGTTCGATCCCGACTCCCGGGGAGGTAACCCTTTAAAGTCCCCAACCTATGGGTTCACGAGGGCACCTGCAATCTTCTGACCAGGTTGCAGCCCAGCGGGTTTTCACGGCAAACCCTGCGTGTGGTTGTGCCAACTCTTGCCTCCGATGTGGCCGCAGCGCAGGCAGGTGCCAGCATGGCCAGACACACAACAGGCCCAGTGATGCTGGAGCATAGCCAGGCACGAGCAGAGTAATGAAGCCTCAATAAGATGACAGCAAATTGTTATTTGGGTCGCGGTTTCTATGAAATGGGGTGGCTTTTTCAGTGCGGGAGGGGGGGGTCCTGGCTTTGTGGGTTCAAGTATAGACTCCGTCATCACTCGCACACATTACACACTAGAACTCCTCTTATCCGCACTGGTGTTGAGTGGGGGTGCTGTTGGCAGATCCTATCTTCTGCATTTATCCGAAAAGAAATTGCCTCTGGAACCACGTGGTTACGCACAGACAATACGATGAGTTTGCCACCACTCGCTATTGACTCCTGGCTTGCGCAGAAAGCCCTTGGATGAGGGGATGGATTCAGCGATTCCAAGAGACCAATTCTGGGTGAATTATCCACAAATAACGCGGATAAGAGGATACATTTTCTCCCACTTGCAGGCAATGTCTCGCAATATAATCATTAACCATTACAGTCCGTTGTCAATCCACTGTTGGATGAAGGCCTCTCCATGCCACGTAGTGGTTGTCTAGCCATACTTCCCCACGCGGTTAGTGTGGGTTGGAAAAAGTGGAGGTGGTGGTGCCCACCTCGATTGTGGCGTTCAAAGCGCGGCGTGCAAACCACTGCGCCGCCACTCCGCCCATCCTCTTATCCGCGGACGCCACTTATCCACAATGATAAAAACACGCGTAGGTAATAAGGTGCATCCATCCGCGGATAATATATTTTTTTTACAGATCAACTGGGGCCACAAATAACAGTAGCCACGGTTAAGAGGATATTTATTGTTTAATAAAAATCACCGGCACGGAAAGCAATCCAGCAGAGAGAGAGAGAGAGAGCCAACCTCAAAAGGTTTAATGACATGATACGAAACTGGCGATGAAGTCAAACTCGTGCCACCGCAAAATGTTTTGACAAACATCTCAGGGCCCAAATCAAACATTGCTGAAGTGGGGAGCGTCTGAGCACGATGGGAACTCCAGCCAACATAGCAAAGGTCACATAAAACATCTCGGCTGAACAAGTTCTTCAGAATCAATCATCACTCAAATTTTCATCATTCGAATAAGTAATATTTAATTCACAGCCCGCTGTTATTTCACTGTTGGATAAAGAAATCACCATGCCATGTCCGTAGCGGCGGCTGTTTGCCTATACTTCACCGCGCTGGTCAGTGGCGTTTGAAGATGTGTGGGGCCGGGGTGCGGAGAAGCAGTTTAGGGCCGGTTCAGATGTACAGCTCGCCACGAAAGTTAGCCGTGGCCCGGAATCGGCCTCATGCTTCTGGCTTCACAGTGCGATTGTGCGAGCCATCGTGTCAACGCTACCCTCAGCTTTTTTAATTCCGGGTGAGAAACATTCTCGTCACGACCATTCTGCAAATGCATGAAATAGTTTGCATGACATAATCTGCAGACCTCTGGCCTTGCATCGCCAACGTGGCAAAATGTTAACTACCTCGCCTGGTATACGGGAGATCGTGGGTTCGATTCCGACCCTGATGCCTGCTGTATATTCGGAGTTTAGATGTTCTCCCCGCGGTCGCGTACACTTTTCTCCACATTTAGAAAGGTACGTTTCCATTATTTGGCTGATCTAAAATTCCACATGATAAGCTACTTTGTTGAGCTATCATTTGTGGCCAGGTCGCTTCTGAAAAACAGCTACATAGCTCAGTGGGCCTTACCTGGTCAAATACAAATAGTTTAATTTGCGTAACTCGCCGCCTCTGTATGCTTAACACGTGCACAAGCGCTGCCATCTTCACGACAAATCTTAAGGCACATTCTTAGACACTCGTTTTTCAAGTATGAGATATATTTTGTCATAACAGGATAAATTGCCTTTTTATTTATTGCTCCTTGTCATTGCACTGCTGAACGAAGGCCTCCCCATGCCTGTGTCAGTCGTGGTGGTTGTTTGACCATACTTCACCAAAAGCAGTCGCTGAAGGTTGATCAATGGCATGGAGGCTTACCCCGGACCGGTTGATGGACAAGCAATCGAACTCAAGTTGCCAGGTTCCCAGCGCAGTACGCTAACCACAGCGCCACCGCCGCACATGCCCGCAGGATTTACTATGCACCCCGTAAGACATGCTTATTCACAAAATTACACTGTAATTATTGATGCCATTTGATAATGGGCCCCGAGACTCGGTGCAAACGCAGAGTGTAATACAAGAATGAGAGGAGGTAGCTCGGGGGCTGAATGCCGTATCGGAGACACTGAGCTGACACGGCTGAGAGTCTGGGTTCAATTCTGGGTTTAAGATTTTCCTTATTAACTGGGTTCTCGAATGGAGCGTGTTGATGGTTTCAGCATGGTCACTTAATAACTGCATTGAGAAAAAAATACATCGATTTGGCTTTCATCTCATTCGGCATATACCAGCTCTGCACTCAACATTTCGGTTTAATCGCCATGCGATGGACACTCATTGCCAGGCATATGAAAGAAATGCGCCACCAATTGCGGATAATGGGGCCTATATTAAAGTAACTTCAGTAGTATCTCTGCCACGTCATCTTCTCGGGGGCCGTGTGAGGTCACAATGCTCGCTGCGTAAGTTTCCAAAAAATAATTCCTTCGTCTCGCGACAAAAGGTGGAACAGAAGAGGAAATATTATAACCGTAGCAAAATAACCGAAACAAAGTAAATAAATAAAACAAGCATCGGTCGGTGACTTTACATCGAATTATGTTTTCAATGTATCAGGCTTCTTGTGCTTCCAGGCAAATATTTTCCAGCAGCATCTGACTGAGCAAACCAAAGAATCTCACGAGAAAAGCAAGACTTGTTAAACAAATCTGTCGTGTTAAAAAGGAATGCTAATGCCTTAACACTGGTCTGGAATGCCCATTCATAGGCAGCTGGCAGGGATGCATTTCTCACTGAATATCATCTAGGTTGCTGGTAGACTGCAGTAGGTGGCACATGACAAGTAAGTAGCCATAGCTAAAGGTAAACTGGGTGTAGTGTGCCGGGTACGGAAGTATTTTCAGTGTCACTGACGTGAACAAACCCAGCTGCAATGAATCCCTGGCTATTGAACGAAAACGTAAATTTCATACAGAGCGACGAACGAAAGGGCATTTATTTATGTATATTTTTTCATTGCCCCATCATGCTCCAAAACAGCTCACAAAGTGGCTTTATACAAAATGAACATTACAACGACCCCACCGCCTGGTGCGCCTACCCTCCTGAAAGCCGGCAGTGTATGGAGCACGCACGCTCGCTCGCTCGCCACGGCTCCCACGTCAGGTGTACTGCCTGTGCGCCTGCAGCTTCGAGCCTGGAGTGCGGAAAGCGGCGGAGGCCCTCGGGGGTGGCATCGCGGCCGTCTGACTCCGGCCGATCCGGGGGGACCCCCCGCTGCCCCCCGCACTACTCCCGCTACCCCCACCCTCCCCGGGAGACCCCCTCCGCTGACCCCTCTGCGTGTCGCCCCCGTAGCGACCGGCTCCTCCCAGACCCGACAGCTGCGGCGATGAAATGTTCCTGTGATGCTGCAGCAGGGTCTGGTTGGGCCGGTACGACTGATGCTGCTGCTGATGCTGCTGCTGATGCTGCTGCTGATGCTGCTGCTGCTGTTGATGATGGTGCTGTTGGTGATGGTCGTAGGTTTGAGGCGACCTGTACGACTCCTGGTGGGACCGGTACTGGTCGGGGCCCCCCTGGCGCATCCCCGCGGGGAGGGAGGAGCGGTAGGAGGCGAGGGCTCCCGGCGGGGGCTCCCGGTGGGAGGTGCGATCCTTGAAGAGGGCGGCCGCTGGGGAGCTGCGGAGGCGCTGGGGCGGAGCGGGCGGCTGGCGGAAGCGCTTGCTCTGTGCGCGCAGGGACAGGGGTGGCGGAGAGAAGGGGGGTAGGAGAGGCGTGAGAGCCTGCGACGGTGCCTCATTGTCGTCGTGGTCATCATCAGCAGCAGCAGCCGTGGTCATTCCACTGCTGGATGAAGGCCACCCAACAGGGTGTCACACAGTGCCGGATTATCCTGACGCTACGGGCCCGGCACTTTCAAGGGCCCCGCGCTAAATGCTTTCAAGCTATCAATTCCGGTTCAGTGATTCTGCACTTGCTCTATTACTATAGTACTATACCGCCTTCATCTTTTATGAACGACTGGGTGTTTAAAGTTAGCGATTTGTCGTATTATCTGGCTGTATAGCAAATGAAAAAATACAATTACTTTACTATGCAAGTAAAAAATGTATGTTTCTTAATATTTACGTATTTGTTTATTTAGGGCCCCTTTATAACATGATGCGACTCGCTTCATCCGGCATTGGTGTCGCCACCCACCCACATAAACGAAGGTAAAAACACAAGTAGACACAAACAAGGCAAAAATCCCCGTGTAGCCTTAACAGGCTGTTGGGGCGATTTCTGTTTGCGAGCAGCACCTATGAAGGCCGGCACGGTGCACGACGGGGGGAGAGGCCAGCATCATGCCTGACTGACCTAACACATGCACACTCGGACACACGCATGATCAGTATGCACTTACATGCCCCACACAAGATCTCCAGAGAGATGTCGTAGTTTTGAGACTTAAAAAGCCATTCCTCTCATTTTTATTGGCATTGGTATTTATAATTTACTATGGACATATATGACAACAAATATTTCCTGTTGAACCTTACAGACCTGTTGGAGCAAGTGCTGTTAGCGAGCACCTATGGAGGCCGGCACAGCACACGAGGGGGTGGGTGGCCAGCACCACGCCCAGGCATCTTTGTCCCCCAGTAGCGATGTTTACACACTGCACCAAGTACTCATTTGAGGCCGAGTCGACCTAGGGGAGGCCCAGGACCGGTTCAGATAATCGTCACTGGTGTTGGCCGTGAGCGAGAATCGAACTCGGGTCGCCGGGTTTGTAGCGCAGCGCGCTAATTACTGCGCCACCGCCACCGCCCCACTAGACACTGCACCAGTACTAACAGGCACGCACAGTCACGTCCACGTTGAGGCCGAGTCGACCTAGGGGAGGCCCAAGACCGGTTCAGATAATCGTCACTGGTGTTGGCCGTGAGCGAGAATCGAACTCGGGTCGCCGGGTTCGTAGCGCAGCGCGCTAATTACTGCGCCACCGCCACCGCCCCACTAGACACTGCACCAGTACTAACAGGCACGCACAGTCACGTCCACGTTGAGGCCGAGTCGACCTAGGGGAGGCCCAAGACCGGTTCAGATAATCGTCACTGGTGTTGGCCGTGAGCGAGAATCGAACTCGGGTCGCCGGGTTTGTAGCGCAGCGCGCTAATTACTGCGCCACCGCCACCGCCCCACTAAACACTCCACCAGTAGTAACAGGCACGCACAGTCACGTCCACGTGCAGGAGACGTCGCAGGGAGGGTTGATGGCCGGCGACCGACAAGACAGAGAACGCACCCGAGAGGACCTCCAACGTGGAGATGGAGCGGTGAAATCAGCTGAACAGATCGCTACATCAGGGCCATGAGAGACAATGGCGGTTTGTGGAGGATTTCATTCAGTGTCAGATTCAGCATGGCTGATGATCACGATGAGTGCTATTGATTGCAACAACAACCGCCGTTCGCCACTCAGCGGAGGTGACGTCACCGGGGCGCTTGTGCCAGTGTGCCAGGCTAGGTGCACCTCGAGGCCGCACAAATTATGACATAGTCACTTGGCAGGAGGTCACGGGAGGAGAGACCCACAGGTGCCATGGGGTTTACTGACTGAGACGACCGACAGATGCACCACCCGCGTTCCCTTCCCCACTGCTCCCCGCTGATGATGTACACAATGCACCGCAGGGGCAGCAGCGGCGTGGCTTGGCTGTGCGCGCGACGACGACGAATGCCACGGCGAGCAGGTGAGGCTCTCGGGTTACGCGCTGCGCACCCCCCTGGGACCCGACTGCGCTCGGCACCGCGCATGCCACGGACGACGTCGCCTCGAATAGCTCGCGCGTGGCATTCCTGAGATGTCTCGGCCTCGGCAGCACAAAGGGTGGTGATGGTGGTGATGACATGATCTCATCATACCCTTTGACAATAATTATTATTTTTTGTGTCTGCATGTGTCTTTTCCCCTGCCCTGAATGATGGGCGTTGAACAGTGATTTAAACACACACACACACTATTATTACTATCGTTATTGTTCACTAGAAGAGAGCGGCACTGCAGTTTGAGCATTCGGCAAGCGATTTACAACTGTCAGGAATTCAAGTCATAGTAGCAGGGGGTCACCCTCTCACATTTTTAAGATAGAAAAGTCACGTGCCCCGTACCTGGTTTGCAGGAAGTTAACACGAACTTTTTTTTCATGGGCATCATGGCCTCTGCCACAGGAACGTGGAGTGTATACCCCACTGGCTCGGCACTGCGCAAACGGGGTGCAAGAAATATGCCTAAGCTCATGATGCACGCGTCACATTGCGTGTGGGTGTTTACGTTGTGTGCCTCGGAAATCTGACAGCTATTGGATGCTAAGCAGGGTTGAGTGTGGCGAAATGGGATTCATGATAAGAGTCACGGTGAAGAGAGACGCGAGGTATTTTCTCAAGGAAGAATCCCTTTGGTATTTGGGCCCAAGGACAGGCCGACGCTACGTAGAGCAGAGGCCAATGAGAGGCTGAACAGGCGGTTGACGAGCTGGAGATTCTGCTGAGAGCGTCATGGGGGGGGGGGGGGGGGGTGGTCAGGCCGATGTGTGAGAGGAGTCCAAGAGCGCTTCCACCAATTGACAGGGGGAGAGGGCCATCGGACTTCCTGCTCGTCTTCGGGATGCCTGGAGACCCATTCGGCTCCTGCAACTACGGCTGCCATGGCAACTACGGCTGCCATGGCAATTACTGCTGCCATGGCAACTACTTCCCAGCTCCAGATGCAGTGCTGCGAGACTCGAGGCTCCCAAGGAAGTTGTGCCACTGCCCTTCACCTGCGCCAGAGCAGTGGGGTGTAGGAACACTCGGTGTGTTGATGACTCATACGTAGGATGGACGACAACGACGACGACGACGACAACAGGAACATTCAAAGTGTGCCGTTCGGAAAAAATGGAAGGAACGTGAAAGAGAGGGAGACGGAGCAGAGACGCGACTTGATGGCATGGGTGGTTGGTGCCAGGAAGATGTGGCCCGACTTGAGCATATTGGCACAAGATGGACCAAGGTGAAAACAAGTGACGAAATGTGCAGTGGACACCTTTGGGCTATCTGCCGATGGATTGTGGTGATGATGATGATGATGACGATGATGAGTCCTCTAGCATAGCAAAGTTAAATTGTTGTCTCACATTGGTCTTGATTGCTATTCACGCTTGGTTTCTGAAATCAAATAGGATGAAAGGCTCTTGGTGTCGCGTCTCCACCCTGCTCGTCCGTCAGGCCCTCGCCCAACCAGAGCAGCACATCGTTCGGCTCCGCGGCGTCGAGCATGGACAGCGCGCGGAAGGGCGACCACCGTGCGTAGAGCGGCTGGTTATGGGCTGCCGCGGGACGACATCGTGGGCAACATAATTGAAGTAGTCCTCTTCTTGGTTCTTTCGGTAAAGTCACGTAGAAGGGAAATAATAAAATAATAAAACATAATAAAACAATTCTCACGACGTTTCGGCCACAATGCAAGCGAAGACCAGGTCTGTCGGAAAGACAGCGTCTGAAGAACAGGTCTTCACCTGAGGACGGCTGCTTGCGTTGTGGCCGAAACGTCGTGAGAATTATTTTATTATGTTTTATTGTTATTATTTTAGTACTTCCCTTCTACGTGACTTTACCGAAAGAACCAAGAAGATGAATCACTGCAGTCACGAAAGCTTTAAATTGAAGTAGTCCTGCCTAAGCCGGTGTGGTGAAATAACTTCCGCGACCCCAAAGTGGGGTCCTCTCGTACAGCTGCGCTCTGGTGAAAGGGCCGGTCATCTACACGTGTTGTGCATAGCCAGTGCCGGCCCTGGCCGATTTGGGCCCTCCAAGCAGAGGTTATTTTGCCCCCCCCCCCACCCCCCTGCATTGGTGAGATAACAGAAGAAATATAGACGTTTAACACGGAGGCTTTCGCGACCAATATCATCCACAATACAGGTTTTTTTTGGGTTAGATCGTGTAAATATATAAATGTGTTGTTTCGCCAGTAATTACAACTAGTTCATCAGGCGACAGCCAGATCACAAACCTGGCTGTCGCCTGATGAAGCTGGTTGTAATTATTGGCGAAATGTCGTACTCAGATTGTAAATGTTGTGGCTTGGCTCTCCAACACACCGGTTAGTGCTGTACTAGTGACGAATTGGCCACGTTCTGTTTACGTGACAACCCTTACTAGTTGGCTGTGTCGGGTGGTGGCGGGTTTTAACGACACATTTATATTTACCTGATGTAACCCACAAAAAACCTGTATTATGGAAGATGTAGACGTGAGAAGGGACAAGAGGAGGAGATAGTACGACTAGAGGAATGTAGACAAAATAGAGATAAAAGGTAGAGATATAGTTACATGAGAAGAAAGGTACAGACAAGATAGAGATTAATTAGATTTTTTTTTCATGTAAGGAGTCGGAATTCGAGTTAATATTTGGTGCACCACTGATTTTTGTCTCGAATCTGCGGCCCTTGAGCTGCTTGGGGCCTGAAGCCTTCGCTTTGATAATTCCGGGCGGCACCACTGCGTGTAATTGTCCACGTCACCTTTCTAATCGAGGCGTTTCCAAAAGTAAAACCTGCTTTTAAAACGCCTGGTTCAGATGTTTCAGATGGCAGCACGCGTATATTTATACAGATGGTATAGGTTATAAAATGTCAATTCAAAGCCACAGGAATGGGAGGTGTGAGAACCGGGTTCCGTCGCCTGTAAATTCTGC